TCATTTCAAATTCTTTATTTCAGAAGAAAGTCGTGACATCAGAGCACTGGACGTGATTACACTTCCACAACGGTCCTATTCCAACTCGAACTACTCATAACTATCTCAGACGGGTTGAAGCACGACTCGTCGCAGGAAATTGGTTGACTGACTGAAACGGAACCATCGCTGCTGGCTGGCTCTTGTCCGACTGACCGATCCGCCGACCGACGATCACCATGAGTTGTATGGGACTGGCGTTGAACGCCAGTGAACTCGATGAATTACGTGAATACTACAGACAGGTAAGTAACTGACTGGTTTTCTGTAGTTACTCCCATAAGTGTTTTTGAATTCATAGCTGTTCTTAACGTGGCCTCTTTGAAGATGTCAAGAGCGATGCAATTATGCAAATCACGGTGAAAATGCGTTTTTGTGAGCAGATTTGCCTAACAACGACGGCAACGTCTTTCTTGGTACCCACAATGAACGACCTTTCAGAAATGACAGAGTGGAAAGGGCACGGAAAGGGTAATCCAGAAGTGAAGTTCTATTTTTTCAAGTAGAGAATTAGTGGGAGCGGAAGGGAGGGAGAGGGGGGGGGGAAGCTAGAAAATGCCAACATTTCTGGATCATTTGAGCTTTTTTGGTATATCCACTACTGCTCAGAAGGAGCGAGTCTTTCGACTCAGTTTTACTACCACGAGACTTTTGGGTTAAAAAAAGCTCTTCCTCCTGTAATCAAGCCCTTTGGGTAATTTTATGACTCCATTTTTTATTCAGAATCACTGAGTAATTCAGTATCGTACTTGACCCATGCATTGCATGTTCATATTCATTACGAAATCCAATCTGTGGCATCCCAAATTGTTTACACTCGTCCACCTTGGTACTTTCCCTACACTTTTAGATTCCAGTATTAATTACCAATTCCAAACTAATAAAGCATTCAAAACGTCGATTAATCAGTAACCCATGGCCGGCATAAAAGTAGCATACAAAGTAGGAAAGGGAAGTGAAGAGACATAAAAATGAAAAAAACAGAGGAATCTTCAACTGACGGGTACGATTCCTGCCTGTGGATCGTGTAGATACCCCGCCATGCCATAGGAAAATGAAGGGTAAAGGGTGAAGAGTTTTGGTGTTGAACAACTTTTTTTGGAATACGCCACGCACTTGACTTCCATTCAGGACCATACGAGTTTTGAATGCGTATGTGGCTCATACTATGACTTACGGTGGCCAACTGATGTACAAGTCGGTGCTTTTGTCCTTCCAGACAAGTCTGGTACCAATCAACGAACCCCAGAGGTATAGAGCAATGAGGCGAGATCCGATCCACGGTCCACGTATGAGATAGCGCGCCACTTGGCACTGCTCCTCAGAGCTTGTAGTGAGATTTCTTAAAAAATCTCACTTCAAACAGTTCTACCGAGTTCTACAATAAGAAATCGGATGATGGAAAATAAATCAACTAATTGGTATGGGCTATGCGGGAGGATATTGCAAGGGTGCTTAGCGATTTCTCAGCTGACTGAACCCTTCGGCCGTGTAACTTGTATAATCAGGCGACTTTCAAACAGGTACATTAAGCTCTATTGACCAGAGTCGAACGAAGCAGGTCTCGGGTCTACTTCATCGTCCCCACCGATGCGGCGAATCCCATTTGATTTTTCCCATTCAGATGTTTATTTGTAACTTCCTTATCATGTAGGCAACTGATCTCTGGACCGGGTTCCTGCTGAGTCATGTGGGAGCACCCAGAATTATTCCCGATTTGTAGTTGTTTATCGTTGCACATCTTTACTCATTCGCACAACGGGAGATCTATGATATTCTCAGAATAACCAGATGGGGCTGCTCCCGAACGACATACATATCTCATAAATTCGCAACGGATGAATCCTACGAGAAGGGTTCAGCGGGGTATTTTTTGTTGATTACCTCCTTCGTCAACTGAATAAATCAGTGATGAATGCCTAATAGCTAGAAATGCGTGGTGTCTTGCGACGTCCGACTCTCGGCAAGGAACAAGTTGGTCCCTTTATCACTTTGGCCGATTTGATCCCCTTATCACTTCGCCCGCTATGTCCCTTATCTCTCTTCAGATTTCGAAGAAAGGCAAAAGCCCTTTTCTCTCTACACATCGGTCCCAGCTCCCGTTTTACTTTTCTCTCCCAACGGAGGGTCTCCTCAACTCTTGACAGGGCCCAAAACATGCGTAGGGAAGTGTTAGGTCCGTTTGAGGTACTTTACCCGAGCTCAGTGGCTTTCCTACAAGCTGCCCTAGTCCGTAGAATTCACCTAAATGAGGGCATTCCGGAACGACACCATCTCCAGATGGGGAGTTCATTATGGCATGGAAAACGAAATCCAATTTGTTTATGTTGTTCCAATGCTCAATGATCACTTATGAAAACGAGAGCAAATATGAGAGCCGTCATTAGCAGATGTGTGGAAGCGTCCCGTGCGGGTTCCATCAGCTGCCCGACGATCTCCCATAGAGCTCTAAGAAGCGACTAATGATTATTCAGCGCTTCCCTGAACCATAGACAGAGTGGATTTCCACGATTCTCAGCAATTCTTATCACTTCTGAAACTACTAGGCTCGGATCTTTTATTTACGACCTCCGACTAGTAAATAGCGGGACATCCATTCACGTCAGCTTCACGGACCCCTCCCAAAAGGGGATCTATCGCATAACATATGACTAACGGGGAATAAAGGCAATTACTTCGTAGACCTAGTATGTGTACTGCTTCACCTTGAGCGGTAAACATGGATTAGCTTCCTAATACAATCTGAAAGAAACTGAAAAGCTAGGGGCGTAATGAGGTTAGAGTTATAACATGTACCGATTATAAGCGGTAAGTAGGGAATCCAATCCAAAGAAACTCAATTGGAGGTGTCTGGGATTAAGGGGTGAGAAATCGCTTGGGAATGGTAATAGGAAAAGTAGTAAAAGAGAAATGATTCCGCCCATAGTTACTAACTGTTCAGTGCCTCACTCTTCTAGATTCGTAGCGGCAATAGTCCCGGTATTGTCTGCTAACGCTTGACCGATCGCAGAAAAAGAGGAATGGAAGGTAGAGGTCAGTTCGTAGAATCGGCAGGAATTCGTTTCTGTAAGAGGCCTCCGCAGCACCTCAGTGAAGCCAGATCCCATCAATAATAAAAATTATAGTATTAATAACTGAAGCCATTGAAGTTGGAGTTTATTCTTTCCCTGCCACAACATCTGGGGGAGCTGATGTCGTAAGCCATCCAGAAAAAGCAAAGATGAATTCTCAGAATAATTTTGAGAAAATCTCGGTCCTTCCGACTTTTTCCATGCGTTTATTTGCAATGGAACAGAACCCACCGGGATTTTTTGTAAAACATTCGGGTGTAGATGGACTGAGGAGAATAGTGGGAGGTACAAGGAAACACGATCTTTGACGAATCTTCTTTTGAGAGGATCACTTTCCTTTGATTACAGCATGCTTAGCAAAGGCCCCTGAAAAAATCTCATTCCACTTCTCCTAAAAGCCCATTTCAACGTTCATAATGATCATCATAAAGCATTTGAATAGCTGTGGCATTATTACAGCTACCATTTCTTCAAGTCAAAAGCAACAGTTGCTTTCTGCCGTAGAAAGGGGTATGTAAAATCATACCAACTTAAGTTTGTGGCAGTACCGGTACGTAAAATGTTGTGGAGCACAATGGCAACAATTCAAAGTGAATTGCACGATATTAGAGCAGCAAAC